CTTGGCGAGGCCGTCAATCTGTGGAGGACATTGCGGCGATTGATGCTAGTTGGTTGTCTTACTTGCCCGGCCTGATGTTTAAGAGACTTGATTGGCCGTTGATTTCTGCTTTTGTTGAAAGGTGGCAGCAAGAGACGAACACCTTTCACATGCCATTTGGGGAGATTACGATCTTGCTGCACGACGTGTACAACATACTTGGGTTACGGGTTGCAGGCAATATGGTGTCCACTACTCCTAGCACGGACGTGTTACGGGACGCGTGCTCGGTCACCATGGATATGACTCCAGATGATCTGTCTGAGGTTTGCGGCACAAAGACCATTTGGCAGGGTAGTGGGGTGTTGACTGATAAGATTTTTGAGTCGACATTGGCGGTCGACCGGGAATTTAGTGAGCAGCTTGATGCATACTTGTGGTTAGTGCTTGGAGTTACACTGTTTGTAGACAAGAGTGGTAACCGTACGCATCCTTCCTTCCTTCACGAGCTATGTCACACGGATGTCCCTATTAACGAGTATGCTTGGGGAACAGCTGCACTGGCCTACTTGTATCGGCAACAGGGCACGGCATCACGGAAAGGTGCTGATTCGATTGCTGGTTGTCTCACGCTTCTGCAAGCGTGGATTTACGAGTACTTTCCGTGCTTTCGGCCACAGCAGGGTACCTTAACCCGGGACCTTCAAATGCCTCGTGCGTCTGCTTGGGATGTAGGAGCGGGATGTCCTAGCAAGAACGTGGAGCGCCTGTTAGCTTTTCGTACTAGGATTGATGCGCTTACTGACCGTGAGGTGAACTGGCTACCGTACGGAGTTGATCCTGCATTACGAGTGCCCCCCACTTTATTCATTGGTTGCATCCAGTACCGTAACATCATTGAGCCGTACATGCCTGATAGAGTGGTGCGCCAGCTTGGTTTCGTGCAAGGCATTCCCCGCGAGATCATCAGGCTAGAGAAGGCCAAGAGGCCGACTAACTTGAAGATGTATCGGGTAGACTTCCCGACTGAGATGACAGCTGTGATGTGGAACAGGTTTGTCCCTGGGGTATCTCAGAGTGTTGTTTTAGGTGCCCTACCCAGGCTTAGTGTTGCAGCTCCTTCGGTTGCGCCCGGTTACATGCAGTGGTTGTACAGGTTTTCTCACCCGCGGGTATCTCCAGGTGCAGGAGTTACAAGCAACCTGCCTGAGCGGACTAACACTGATTACGTAAGTATTTATGCTTATTATTATATTAACAATGACTTATATGAATTTTTTTGTTTAAAATATGTTATTGTTTGATTTGCAGTGGATGGGTCGGTCCATGGAGATTCACCAAAGAGCACTAGCTGAGTATCCTGAAATGTCGAGTGAGACTCGAACAATGACTGAGCAGCTTGTATTTGATTGGAAGTCAAAAATGGGACTTTAGATTATTTTGATTAGATGTTCTGTTAGTGGTTTTACTTATGTTATGAATTTATTTTTAATTTTTGTTTTTTAAATGTACTGTATAAACTGGACACTTATTTTATTTTATATTTGATGTTTTGTTGCATATCATGTTAGATTAAAAGCAAATACATTTAAAATTAATTTCATAATTCTAATTTTCTTACAAATGTTCAAAGTTAGTAAATGTACATTACAAACTACCTAACTAATGCATCCCACATGTCCCTTCTCAACTGATATGCTTGATCCCATCCATTGACACTATCCTCGTGGTTTTGCGTCCACCAACCGGCGATCGGTGGGAGTGGTGAATCAGGTACAAGGTCAAGACGGATAAAATGTGATCCACCAACTGTAGCAATCACAAACTCTCGAGTCGGTGACCGAACCCCGTTGCGTGCCCTAAGCGGTAAGACTGTGATGCATGGGTAGTAGCAAGTTGGTACTAGGCCTACTCCGAGACAAATCACCCTTGCGTTGAACCACGTAGCAATAGGAAATAAATCTTGAATTGTAACCATCCAATGCCGCTCCCCGACAGCCCCACCATCCCATCGAATACGCTCCACGTTCATCCAAAGTCGCCCAAGCCCGTAAATCCGTTCGTACAAATCAGGATGACCAGCGACCTCGTTCGCAATTGTTTCCCGAGCGTCAAACCACTTATTTTGATCGCCAAAGGAGAAGTCGGCGACACAACGAAAGCCACAGTTCCCATCACCAATGACATCCTTCCAAGACGAAATGCACGGCAACATTGGGGCTGGAAGCAAGTTCAAATACCTGCATTGACTAATGTCACTTGGATCTACAACACAAAATTAAAAGATAAATTATTAGTAAAGGTATAAGTATTAAGTTTACATATTTTTATATTAAATATAGAATTTTAGTATTACCTGGTTCTGGGTCACCACCACGTTGAGTGTGTTGACGGTTCACATGCTCGAATAGCTACGTTGAGTGTGTCAGACGCATACCACATCCACACCGTTCATGGACTTGGTAACTCAAATCCCGCATCCTTTTCGTCTCGTTATCCAGAACTTTCAAGCAATGTTGAGACACTTTGCCATTTATACGTGACAGTGGCAACTGTCTGTACATATGACCAATTTTAGACCTTGATGCCTCCAAGTCATTACGAATTTGTATGATGCGATTACCGATATGACAATGGACTCGGGCCCATACGGTATCCAAAGCACCTACCAATGATTCTAATTAGTAAATTCAAATACAATTACAATTACAATTACGTAACAACGAGAACAACTAATAAAATAATACAACTAACCTTTGGATATTCTAACCAAGTTTTCACTGCTGAATGTTGGCTCTCAACTTTGCAGTTGGTGGTGTTACCAAAATGAAGAACCTGGTTCGTCCAAAATTTCACAAATTTCTCCTTATGACAAAGCCAAGTTCTCTGAACATACTGAATCACTTCCGGATATTTTCCCCACCTCACTTGCATGGCAGTTAGAGCACGATCATACTCCGCCTGTGTTGTTGCATTCACGATTTTGAACCATCTCCCAGCTCTAAAACTGACACCAACCGTCTTGTTTCCAAACATCTTCGTCACCTTAGCCTCCACATCTCTGTTGATGTGCCATAGACAGAGTAAATGTGACGTCCCTGGAAAGACTTCTCTCAAAGCCGCACATAGCCCAAGATCACGGTCTGAAATAAATACAGATGGCTCTTTATCAAACCCAATCAACTCCCTTAATCTCTGCAACACCCACCGATAGCTAGCCGTGCACTCGTCGCGCATGAAAACATATCCAACTAGAAAATTCTGGTTTGTCGGTGTCACGCCTACTATCTCAAAGAAAGGCATGTTATATCGATTGGTCTTGTAAGTAGAATCCATACCTATGACATGTGGGTATGTGCGGAGTATGTTGACCATGATCGGGTGCACCATAAATGCATGTTGCAAAACGTTGTGATCATCGTTCGTGAACCAGTAAATGTATTTACTCTCTCTCGCCAGATGAAAAAAATTGCTGAACAACTCCTCTTCCTTCGGACATTTCCATCCTGAAGTCATTTCGGCAATTGTAAATGTGTCGGATGTTTGGATGATCATCAGGAAATTGCTCGGCAATAGTGGACATGATGTTACGGGGAGCAACCTTGGACTTTGTCATGTCCCGCACAACCTGTTTTGCACCCGGACTCAATCCGCTCACTTTACGGTGACCCTCTGGGTACACAATCATTGGGTGGTTATGTGTCCCGGTGTGATCATTTGTCGCAATGATCTTCCAACTTTCGGTGCTGACATCATAATATATCTTGATGTAGAATGGACAACCATTAGCTTTGGTTTTGGTGTCCTTCCGTATCGCGTTCTCCAAATCTCTCGGCTTTCTCCTTCGTGACCGATCACATCGCAAATACCGATACGGCCGACCATCTCTGGTTTTGTTATAAGACGATTTCACCAATATAAATCCCAATTTTATGGAAACACCATCAGTCCATGTAACAACATCGTCAAATGTAGGAAAAAACGTATCGGTGACAAAATTCCCACTATAATTCACACCGTCACCGCCTTCCTCAGATTCCATATCCTATACAAATTAAACAAAACATGCTTTATGTCAAAATAATAATAATAAAAACAAAAATAATAAAAATAATTATAATTAAAATAATAAAAATAATAAAAACAATACTAATAATAATAATAATAATAATAACAATAATAATAATAATAATAATAACAATACTAATAACAATACTTATAATAATAACAACAAATACAAAACAATAACAATATTAATGATAATAAAAAATTATAACAACAACTACAAAACAATTTATAAGACCATAACATTAATTAATAAATAAATAATAATAATAATAACAATAATAATAATAATAATAATATTAATATTAATATTAAAATTATATTTCTACTAATTAATAATAACAATATCAACAACAACAATAAAAATAACAGCAACAACAACAATAATAATATCAACTACAACAACAACAACAATATCAACATATTACTAATAATAACAATAATAATAATAATAACAATATAAATAATAATAATAATAATAATAATAATAATAATAATGAAACAAAAAATAAACATATTACTAATAATCATATTAATACAACAAAATTACATTAATTATCAAATACTAAATCACAACAATAATCACAAGACCACGAAAAAAAATACATAAAAAAAAAACTTAATAAACATAAAAAAATTAAATAAACGTACTTAACATTTAAAAAAAAAAAAATTAATAGGGACATCCGCCTAAAATTTCCGGATTTCCCTAGGTACATCCGCCTGAAATTTCCGGATGTACCATGGAACATCCAGATTTTTTAGGCGGATCCCATCTTCCGCTTGAAATTTCCGGATGTTCCATGGTACATCCGGAAATTTTAGGCAGATGTACCTAGGACATCAGGAAATTTTAGGCGGATGTCCTAATTACTGAAAATAAAAAAATAAAAAAAAAAAACTTACAGAATGATCCGACGCATTCTCCAGCGTACGTATGTTCCACTCGCCGTCCATGACCCAAGACCCGTCGGAAAATTTAACGATTTTTGAAAATAGAAAATTTAGGTGGTCGTGGGGACCGATTTGGTTGCAAGGTCGTGGGGACCGATTTTGGGAAGCTCGGGACAGCAATGTCGTGAAGTGAGGGGACCGTTTCATGTATTGTGTCCAAATGGGGAACAAGGTCATTTATAACCCAAATTGCATAAAGGGCATAGTGGTCCATTCAAGTCAAAAAGGGAGCGTTACCTGGTAATTTGGGAGCGGCAAATAGCAGTTGAGTTTATTTATCAGCTGATGCCATTGCCCTGTTCATCATTGGGTTGATTTCCCACAACCAAGATGTTTCTCCACAGAAGACTGAGCTACACGCATTTTGGTCGCCATTTCTTCTTTTACATCTCGGTGGACCGGACACAATTACTGCCTTATCTCTCGAGGATAATGAGCTGTGGCGTCGACATGCTCTTCAGTTGGCCACCCAGGTAATCATCACTATTTATGTCTTTCTTCAATCATTCCAGCATAACAATCTGTTAATACCAACGGTGCTTATGTTCGTTGATGGATTTATCAAGTACTTTGAGCGAACTTGTGCTCTATTTTTTGCTAGCTCAGACAGTTTTAGAGAATCCCTTGTGTCCAAACCTGAGCCCGGGCCTAACTATGCTAGGCTAATGGAAGAGTACTATTCGGCGAAGAGTGCTCATATTCCCACGAAGTTTGAAGGTGAAAATGGTCTCTCAGGCAGTAAATCAAAACTATTTGAGGGACGAAGAGATGGTCCTGATGACGAGTCACAATCCGTTGGTGATAATGCTTCATCTACAATGGATGGTGAGCCAGTAACAAACGATGAGAATCACTTGGAAGGTGGTGATGTGAAGGAAACTGATGATATGATCAAAAGTGCTCATGACTTTTATAAAATGTCTATGCCCCTCTTAACTGATGGATTTTTGAGCTTAAAAGATCGCAGTAAAAACCGCGCCTTTTTTTTAGATAAGCAAAGGCCTTGTGAGCAAGCTTTTAGAATCATACAGATTGAGCTCAACTTAATCTATGATATTTTCTATACAAAGTTGTTCTTGTTTCAAAGGAATAGAGCTTATGCTCGAGTTTTGTGCCTTTTTTTGGCTCTTGCATCCCTTTTAACTTTCTTTTTTCAAGACGGGGGCAAATACTCTGATCATCATGTTGATGTGATAGTAACTTTCACATTGCTTGGTGGTGCTATAGCCTTGGATCTATTGACTGCTGTTATGTTTGTGTTGTCGGGTTGGTGGGTTATCTTATGCTTTGATGGTATGTCTAAAACCTACCTACAATCGCTTATGCAGATGATCCTTAGATGGTCAAAATGGGCTAGACAACATAACCGTACAAGGTGGTCTAATTCTATCTCAAAATACAATTTATTAAGGCGTTTTAGAAAACCCTCTTCATTGTTCAACTTGATATACTTGTTTAAAATAAAGGAAATCAGGGATGTTTTAGTTGGAATCCTCTATGTCAAAGAAGATCAGATTGAGGAGGATCTTATCAAATACTTAATAGAAGGGCTGAAGTCCAAAGCTATAGAAGCAGAAGAAATGGCGGTAGCAAAGAAGGTTTGTTCTGCTAGAGGGAATTTGATTTTGCAAAAAGATTATTTCCTTGCTTCAGAGTGTTTAAGCCCTTGGACCGTAGATGTTGATTATGATGAAAGTTTGTTGATTTGGCACCTCGCAACTGATATCTGCTACTGGACTACAAGTGACGATAAAGATGATGCTGGTTCATCAGAATCAAAGGATCGTAGATTCAGCAAGGCACTGGCAGATTACATGGCATATGTTATACTCAGGCAGCAGAAGATGGTGTCTGCACTAGTGGGTATGTCAGAGACTCGATTTGAACACACTTGTGCAGAGGCCAACAAGTTCATGAATAATAACTGCATCAACGTCAGCTGGCTTGAAGATTGCTGGTGGAAGGCTAAGAGGTTCAGGTTCGCGTCAAGCCAAGACAAGAAGAGTCCCTCAGAAAAAGCAGAAGCTGAATTCTTCAAGAAGTTTAGTGAGAAGGTGCTTCAAGTAAAGGCGGATGTACAGCCTTTAAAAGCCAAGGGTGATAAAAGCAAATCAATACTCTTTGATGCATGTCGCCTTGCTAAGCAACTGGAATTGTTTGGAGAAAAGCAGTGGGAGATAACAGCTAAGGTTTGGGTGGAACTGCTATGTTATGCTGCTATTCGCTGTTCACCAAGATCGCATATTGCGCGGCTAAGCAAAGGTGGAGAGCTCTTAACTTTGGTGTGGCTGTTTATGACTCATCTTGGCTTAGGGGAGCGCTTCCTGCAGAATCAGGGCTTTGGATGGACTAAACTTATTATTCACAAATAAAATAACACCACTTGCTTGATAATGTTGTATTGTTATATGTTCTAGTAATGCAAGTCTCATGCTTAATTATGTAATGTACTATTTAACGAATATGTATTTTTGTATTGTCAAGGTTATTGAAACCATTTCTAACGTTCTAAATAAAATGTAGTATGCCTATGCCTACTAACTTATCTATGGTAAAGAACCAAATCTGGACACAAAAATCAAAATTCATTCGGACTGTGTCTAAGGTTTAAAATTGAATTAGTACGCTTCAATCCCACAATGTGACAAGGACATGAATTTACGATAGGTTTTTACTGGGGTGAGCATAACAAGGCACCCTGTTTAAATTTTTGGAATTGGAACCGAAACTTATCGAATGGGTTCATACTCAATTCAGGGTACACTGTCTTGTAATATACTTCCTCCGTTTATATTTAGTTGATACTATTTGACTTTTACACTATTCACGGACTACACTTTGACTCGCTTTTGTGATTTATATATACGGTAAAATATAGTCATGTGGGATCGTGTTGAAATCGTATTGATGTATATTTTATTAATATCCACTTTTTATATTAATTAATTATACAATGCTAATAATTAGAGATATTAATCATTAAAAACATACGTTAGCAAGCGTGATAATAAGTCTCAACTAAAAAAAACAGAGGAAGTACTTTTTAACTTTTTGCAGATTTGTCTATAAAAAGGCTGAATGGTCACTACTCACTAATTATAATGTTTATCAACTTGCAAATAAAACAAACTAATAGTAGTTGTTTAGCAAATTTAGTACTCATATTTATAATGATAATTTTGATATTTTTTTATTTAAAATATAGGTTAGAATTGGTGTCTAATTTAAACTTATAGTGGTATTTTTATCATGCATGTTACAGGGTACCCTACAGGTACGATTCTGATTCCAAAAAAATTGAGAACCTGAACCGAAATCGGAACCTGTTGCAACAAATTCTCCATTTTACTACCCGGAATAGGTTTTGGTTCTAGAACTTGCGGTTCTTAATAGGTTCTTCATGGTACTCTTATTTTTTGTTAAGTCTTGGCGCATAGCGCCTATTGATTTCAGCGCACATAGGATGACAATTTTGCAATTAAAAAGTAGTATTCAGATAACTTATAATTTAGTGGTACATTATACATGCATAATGGTATCATTAGAGAGTCAGTTTTTTCCAGAAGTTGAAACTTATAGGATGGTAAAAGTACCACTACACTCGTAATAGTCCATAAAAAGTACTATTCAGACAACTTATACTTTAGTGGTACATTATACATGCATATTGGTACATTAAATTGTACCACTTGAGAGTCAGCTTTTTCTAAAAGCAAAAATTAAATTAGCGAAAATTACTTCCTTACACTTCTATTTACATAGCTCGTTAATAGGCGCTATGCACCCAGACTAACTCCTTAGTTTTGCTCACCCCAAGTTTTCACATTGAGACATGTTTTACTTCTTTTTTTTTTTTTAACCAGACATGTTTTACTAACATAACTATAAGTCTGTTACAAAATTACAAAGGGTCTTTTGAAAAAACCAAAAAATGAAAAAAAGAAAAGGAAAGAAAAGCGGAACAAATGGAGCATAGGCTATAGCTAGAGAAGTAAAGATCAGAATTATAGGGGTGAGCAAAACGTGTACATGTTAAAAGTTCTGAAACCGGAGCCAAAAAATGTTACAGTACGAAGTAGTGCATTTATTTAAGTCTATGCAAAAAGTCCACAAAAACGCGTGGAAATTTGAACAAATTTGCATTTATTTCAGTCTATGCTCCTAGTGGCTAGTGCTAATTTTTCATAGATACATGTTGGGCGGCACTTGCAAATCAAGAGAGTGACTCAACTTCACAAGTTCAAAAGAGATTTCATCCCAAAACCATACAACAATAGAAGAAATAGCCCCTTAGCCTTATAAAGTGATTAAGGGCGTGTTCGGCGATAGCTTTTGAGTAGCTTTTAGTGGTTTGACCAAGTCAAATCATTACTTGACAAAAAATGTGAGTATTTGGCAAAGTAGTGGTTAGAGTAGCTTTTAGTGGTGGAGGTAGCTTTTATAAAAAGCTAGAAAGATTAGCTTTTAAAATTAGAGGTAGCTTTTGAAAAATTAATATATAGTTTTAAAAACAACATGTTGATTTTTATATGTGACAGTTAGTCAAGTGCTACTTTACCGAACCCTCATATCTAAATTATTTATCTTCACAGCTAACAGCTTGTTGACAGCTAACAGCTACATACACAGCTACCTTCACAGCTATATTTTGCCGAACATACCCTAACTTTCTTTAACCAATGTAAGACACTTACATGTTGTGATATTTGGAAAGTCTATTCTTCAACATAGAAGCAATTTCCTGTAAACTAAGGGCCTGTTCTGTTCCGTTGAAATTCAGTTCAGTTCAGTTCAGTTCAGTTCAGCTCAGTTCAGTTCAGCTCTTAATTTATGTCTAATGATACAACAACAACAACAACAACAACAACAACAACAACAACAACAATAATATTAATAATAATAATACTAATAATAATAATCAATAAATAATAATTAATAATAATAATATTGATACAATTTATTGTTCAAATGGTTCTATTTTTTTGAAACATATTTCTAATGTTAATCTCATTGAGAAAATTAGAGTACTACACAACTTAAACTAATTTTCATAGTCAGTTAGTTCTTCGTCTTCTTCTTGTCCACCAAACTCCTCCATTACCTCGGCATTCCTCTGAACTGACTCCCATATCTGATCAGTTATTTCTTGTCGTACAATATCCATAACTGCTTTTCTGTTAGGATCGTACATAGTATGATCTTCTCTTCGCTCCATGACTTCAACCTGGTGCGTGATTGGAATCTCTTTGCAACTGAAAACGTAATTCCATTTGCGGCATCAATTTAGGTTGTAGAACCTTCCACCTATTTTTCAGAATCGCAAAAATCCGCTCAATTACATTTCGACAAGACGAGTGTAGGTAATTGAAATGCTCAAACATTCCTTGTGGAGGACCTGATCTCTTGAAATCAGGCAAATGATACCTCAAATCACGTCCTGTATGGGGACTTAAGTACCCGAGTGTATTAGGATACGCTGAATCAACTACATAGTATTTTCCTGTGCAATAATGATAATGTTAGTTAACGAAACTAATAAATTTTCCCATTTTATTCATGAAATTTAGTTTGTACCAGGCGGCGGATGAGGGAATCCCATTCTTGTTTCTCCTAAACTTCGCTTCCAAACGCTGCTATCATGTGCACTGCCTTCGTAGCCTAAGTTGATGTGAGTAAACAACATGTTATGTGAACACACTGCCATCACATTCCATGATTTATCCCCTTTTCGATCTCTGTGGGCCTTGCCCATAGCATCGGCAACAACTGCATGTATGAGGGTACCATCAATGGCACCAACACAATCCTAAGCACAAAAGTGAACAAGGTTATTACATAGACACTAATCATCTTGAAAATTTAATGTGAATGTGTACCTTAAAGAAAGGCCAGAGTTTGTTGTTGTTTTGAATTTCAGGAGGTGTTTCATTCAAACTTTGATAAGGTCGAATTATTTGAGTTGACAATGTCTGCAATGCCTCTAACACTTTGTGGAAATACCTCGAAATAGTAGATACCCCATGTTGAAATCTTTCAGCAACATCACGAACGGAAGCAGGTTTGGCAAGCATGTACAAACCTATCCCAAGTTGTTCTTCAATGTGCATATGTTTACCAGAACCATCTGTCAACAATTGTTGTGCTCTGAGGACATTAGCAAGACTTATAAATATTTCTCTACTTAGCCGAAGTTGTTCTTTACACAAATTATGATGGCCTGTCACCATCCTATGAATCCATTGGCTCCCCGTTTCCCCACCAACATGCATAGGTATCCGGGAGTTTTGCGAAAGCTATCAAGAGTCCAAGATACTGAGAACTTCATCAAAAGCATTTTTGGGTTTAGAAGATTGACTCAAAGAAGATCGTCTCAGTACATCAAGACACGCATCAATATCCTCTTCCCTAGACTTTTTACCAGAAATTCTAGAAGGCTGGCTGTCAATGCTTTTACGTTTTTTTGGGTCACTTCGGGCAACAGGAGGCTGGATGGAAATGTTGGGGGTTTGGGTTTCATCTCCTGGAACATCATCAGAGTCACCTACTCCTTCATCTTCAACTTCATCAACATCTTCCCGTTCTTTATGCCTAAGTGAAGCAGGTGTAAAACTTAAATCACCACTTGCATAACCACCTTTGAAAATGTTATTCCATTCTTGCTCATTCTCGAATGGAGTCCTAAGAAGGGATCTTCCGTTGGCTTTATATTTCTGAAAAAGGATTCCGTTTCAAAGAGATGCATTAGTGGGGAAAAAAAACATATGTGTACATTATAGAAATTTAAATGGATAAAAATACACAACAAGTACCTTAGAAAAGGCTAGCCATCTTTCTGATTCAAGATCAACAAGAGGGCAATTATTCGGCCCCCATCCAAGACCAGTCCATCTCTTCAATTCTCTCCAAGCTTTGTGTTTTTCTTTCATATTCGAGAACCAATTCTTAACAGAAACGGCTGAAAATGTCTTTCCTGTTCTTTGATTTAAAATATTTGCAACATTATCCCAATCAACTTTCCCCCCAGCCGGGGTGACATGATCCGGCAAGATTCCCAAAAGTATGGTCACAATGTCCGAAGTGAATGATGCCCGTTTGGTACTCATTGCAAACAAGATATGGCTAAACATCAACCAAAGTAACAAAACAAACATTACACCACAAAGTAACCAAAGTAACTTACTGATGGATTACTCTCTTTTTTTTTTTTTTTGGGAGAAATATTGATTGATTTCTACATGCTTTCTTATAATCAATTAATCATAGCTTTAATTTTATGATATTAAAAAAATAACTACACTTAGAAACAACACAAATAAGAGAGGTCGATTCAAGCTTCAATGACCAAACTGTTTTTCAAATCTGGCTTAGGTTGCAATCTCCAAATAAAATAAGAGCTAGGATTCAAGATTAAAAAAGAAAAATTAAAAACAAAATCTCCAATTAGAAAGGAGGAATGATACTAACCTATCCAAAACAGAACTATCTAAAACAAACTAGGCAGAGTATTGATACTAACCTTAGCTTGGACACCTTTAGGCCGCCGAAAAATCAAAACAACCGGCTGGGCACCGCCGCTGGTGGACTACAGGCAGAAGGAGACAGCTTCGTTGGGTTTTTTGTGTTTGTTTGGGGCACTGCCGAACTGGTGACTGCAGGAGGAAGGAGAAAGTGTTTTTCTTTCTCTTTATTTGGGGTTAGAGCATCGTGGGTTAGGGTGTTTTGTTGTTTTTTTTTTTTTTTAATTTTTATATATATATTATTTTATTTAAAATTTGTTTAAATGGGTTAGATATATGTAAGTGTTTTGTGTTCTTTTGTCCTAATACTATTTTTTTTTGAATTAAATAGTATGTGTGTTTAAAATGTTTAGAGGTTTCAAGTTTTTAATATATTTTCCATACATTTTATAATATATTTCCATACATTTTATAATTATAATTATATAGTATATTTTTCGTAAATATTTTAATATGTACATTTGTATATACACATATGTATAGTAATTAATATCAATAAATAATCAAAGATCACTAATCCGTAGTTAAAAATCACTAATTAATAAGTTCAGTTCAGTTCAGTTCAGCTCGGTTCAGTTCAGTTCAGTTCAGCTCGGTTCAATTCAGTTCAGTTCATTTCAGTTCAGTTCAACTGAGTTCAGTCAATCGAAACAGGCCCTAACACATTTTTACTATTCTACGGTTTTACCTCAATTATTAATATGGATCAGCAAGCAGGCCCAGAAAATTGGATATTTCAACCACAATTTTTGGTGCATTCAATTGAATTGTACGTAAATTTGTTGGAAACCAGCAACTTGCTTGTTAACATTATTTATTTTAATTGTACTAGTCAAATTTGCTCGAGATGGATAGAAAGCATGTGCACATTCGTACAAGGCCTTTAAGTCATTATCTTACTCGTACTCTATTATTGAGCTTGGAAAAATGATCAAAGAATATGCTGTTCAAGAAATTTCAAAATAATTTATGCTACTCTATGCCGTTCATTTGAGGCACTTCAATTCGTCAATGAAGCACGGAAACTCTTAATTTTAGCCACCTATCGTTTCCGAAACCTCTTTCGTTTCGAAACCCGTTTCGAAACGGCTCATGGATTCTCTTGTTTTGTGAAGCGTCTCGCATAATTTAACAGTTCGAAAACCTATGGGAAACTTAATTAAGGATATAAATAAGCGTTTTCCCTTTAATAGAAAGCAATTAAACCCTTATGTTCACAAATTACGAGCAGTCAAGCAGCATAGTTATTTGAGTTGTTTCTATAATTGTCGTTTCCATGCTTTGGAGATCCATGTTTGCTGCCATCACCGCCTAGTTAGAACAAAGTCGATCTAACTACCACCGAACGATTTCACTAATTTGATGTTTTTCTTGTATTTAATTTGGAAAAAAGGAGTTCTTGCAATTTACAGAACGAAGTATCTGTTTGTTTTTATTTTTTTGCAAGTTTATTTGGTATTTTATTCTGATTAAATGTATTTATTTATGTATTTTTAATGTGTCCCCGTTTTCCATAATTTTAAAATTTCCGTTTCCCCGACTCCCCGTTTCCCCGTCTCCGTTTCTGTTTTCCGTTTCCGTGCAACCTAGATTCGTATTCATTTATTTGCTACACTATCAGATGACTGATATGGTGCGCCTTCAAGCTACAACTTATAACTTTATTATTTGGTATCCAGCCATAATATTGAAGTAAGCAACTCACAAACCTATTCCAATTAGAAACAAGAGAAGTAGCTCAAATTTATTTATTTGGTATCCAGCCATAAAATATTGAAGTGGGAAGGAAATACAGTAGTCGACATGAAAAATCACAATTAAAAATCCGAGTAAAAACAGAGAAGTTTGTGTGCTTAAATTACAAACAATAGCCATTCATAGAAACGTTACTTATAATTTATATTTACATGCCGGTTACAAGGACAACAAGTCTAGCATCGAAACAGGTTCCTTGATCAACCCCTGATGAGGTTGGGCATTGGGTAATTTTCCCTTCTAATTAAATGCAAACTTCTACTACGTAATAATAATTCTTATTTAATGACTCATGAACAGGCAACAATGTAGTATAAATAACTGTTTAGGCCATAATCAGTCAATCATGAAAATCAAAATAGAAGCATGAAATAGGAAGGGAAAATTATAAAAAAAAAAACACACAGAATGCTTACATAAGTCTAAGGAGAGACGCACTGGAGTAGTGGACAGGATAGGTGAATTCAGGGAGAGCAGCAAAATCTGCACATTCAGTAGTCATGAGTTATTTTATAATCAAGGGAAAATGTTGAGAAAACTGGTGTGTGACATTTGGGAAGGGAATCAATCAATATTCACTGCTACATACCCTAATAAAAACATTCTTGAAAATCAATGTTCCCGATGTGTTGAATGTAAGGCCAGTCCTTCCCCGGGGGATCTTCTTGTTGACATCTTTTCTTCAGACTTTTTGAACACCCGGACACTGTAAGATGATTGAGAGATTGGAGGTTGGCCATCCAATTCGGCATTGATATGAGTTGGTTGCAAAATGAAATTTCAAGAGATTGAAGGGCAGGCAGGAACTGCATCCAGTTGGGCAGACTCATCAGCTGTCGGAGACCATGCAATGTCAAAGTGGTGAGCCGTGGCATGAAGTTTGTATTGATGCCAGTACACTCCACACCCTCCTCTTGCTGCTCTTCTGATAGCCTCAGATTATCGCAATCCCTTATTTCTAACTTCTCTAAGGCCATGAGATGCTCCAATCCTCCAACGCTACTCAGTGTACAACAATCGCGAATTATCAAGTGTCTCAGAGAAGATGAGCAGCCACTGAAAACATTTGCAGCTTCTCTCAGGCTCCCTAGTTCCTTGTCACCACATATATCTAGGCTTTCAAGGAACCGAAAAGCCTCCTTGGGAACCGAACTTATCCATGACACATTGGATATAGTCACCTATGTAAGTTTAGTCGAATTTTTAGGGTGAGGTGACCACGACGAAGAAGATGCAAAGGGAATGACAACCACTCCTAAGTTCTCACCCCTTTCACAATTTAAAATCATTTGCAGTCTGCTATTAAATTTGAGTAATGATAGGTCTTCCATGTTGGGACAGGGCGGGAAGTATGTCAGCTCCGGACAGTTCCATATGAATAGAGATTTCAGGGCAGTAAAAGATGGTAGTGATTGCAGTTTTGCCTTATTGCTGCTGCTGTTGTTGCTACCGCCACTGAGGAACTGATGATCATCTCCTGCTCCCCTCCTCCATCCTTTCAACTTCGGCAGATTGCTCATTTCAATTGTTTCAAGGGATAGTAGGTATGATAATCCCTCTGTGCTTGACAATTGATGAGGCGTGGGTGTGGAACTGGAATCAGCCAATGAGTTATCTTCCCCTACCCACTCCAATTTAGCTAAGTTTACAAGTCTGAGAACTTTCAAACAAAGCAAGTTTTCGAGGCATGGCAGGTACTCGAGCTCCCTACAATCTGTAAGGCAAATCTCTACAAGATTTGGAAGAAAAGCTACCCAATTAGGCATTTTCAGCCCATGGTATTTCTTCACCTCTAAGAACTTCAAATTATGATGTGGATGTAGCTTTTCCATCAATCTTTCTGCTTCCTCATTACCCGCTCTTCCATCAGCCTCTTCATGGATGAAATCAAACAAAATAACAATGAGATGTTCCTTATTCCCCAGGCATAATTCATCCTGTTCGTCGTCTTCCTTTACAACATATTTTACATGTCTAGGCCACCTGATCTGGATGTTAAGACAACCTCTGAGGTTGTTAAGATGCTTCAGATCGTCCAACCCACCAAACCACTGACTCTGGCTTGAATAACTTTGTTCATCACCTACTATGTAATCACTTAGACTGTGAAGGCATGTCAGCTTACCCATGCTACTAGGCATGCAAGTCAAACTAATACAACCCCTGATATCCAACAATCTGAGTTTATCCAACCTTCCCAGATCACTTGGCAACTCTTTCAGTGTGCAGCACCACCTTAACATTAAGGTTTGTAGATTATCAAGTTCTGTAATTGACTTGGGGAGAAACTTCATCTCTGTATTCCCTGAGATATTTAAATACCGTAACTGTACCAATTTACTAACAGAATCGGGCAATCTTTCCAAAATAAACCCACTCAAGTCCAATGCCTTCAGGTTCAGACAATTTGCTACCAACGACTCCAAGTAAGACATGTTCACCTTGCCAAGTTGAAAACCTTCCTCACAAAAATGAAGGTATGACAGAATATTGGTTCTACCCAAATTGTATTCATCAGATGTCCCGCTAACTGATAGATGGCGCACATTTTTATCTAGTTCAGAACAACTGGCTTTCATTACATACATTTCCTGCCCAGAGATATGTTGAGAAACATCATGCATGAGATCATGTATCTTACAAGACACGATCTGCCCATAATGATCTTTTTTCACGACTTGGAAAAAACATCTATTCAACAAGATTGAAAAATATTCCTCACATGCTTCTTCTATACTTTGACCTTCATGAAATGAAATATAGCCTTGTGCCATCCAAAGGCTTTTTAACTTCTCTTTCTCTATCTCAAAGCCTTTAGGAAACAATGCACAATAACTGAAGCAACTCTTTAATGGAGATTCAAGATTTTGAAAACTCAACTTTAATATGGGAGCAATGCCTCTTTGAGATTCCTGACAGTAGGCCAATCCTATCTTTTGAAAAGTTTGCCATCTGACCATGGCTTGACCACAAAAGAGAGATCCAGCAACTCTTATGGCAAGCGGATGTCCGGCACATTCGTCAACAATATTTCGGCCAATCGTGACCAGCTCGTCAGGGGGGTTTGATTGATCTGGTCGAAAAGCAATTTTTGCAAACAAGTGCCATGAATTATCCTTTGATAAGGCTTGTAGCTCATACATTGCACCACCTACCATTGTTGCAGTGGTTTTTGAGCGTGTAGTCACCAGTATCCAACTTCCCTTTTGGGGTCCAACCAAATTTTTTACCAATTCATCCCACTTAATATGATTCTCAGTCCACACATCATCTAAAACAAGTAAGTATCTCTGGCTTGCTAGTTGCTCTCGAAGTTGGCTTTGGACCTGATCCATAGTAGAACCCTCGTGATTCTGGCCATTGGCTGATTCTAAAATCTTTTTAAGAGTCCCACAAATATCCAACTGGTTCTGATCATTAGAGATACAAGTCCATAACCTCAATGGAAATGCAGCGTGAACCCTTGGATGGTTGAACACAAGTTGAGCAAGAGCAGTTTTACCCAACCCTCCGAAACCTACAATAGAAAGAAAGGACGGGTTGCATTGAACATTAGAAGAATCAAGCAGCATACCAATTATATTCTCCACTTCATCATCTCTTCCTATGATACTGTTTTCACGTAGGTATGAACAGGTCTCTTTCCTTCTCGATGTCTCTTGACTATTTTCTTTCCTTCTCGAAAGAAAAACAATATTATCATCAATACTATTGAATAGGTCTCTAATATCCAATTTATTCCTGATTTTGCGAAGCTTTTGAGAGACACAATAAGCAACCCAGTACAGACGCACCTTTTTTACGAGACCACCTCTATCTTTCAAGAGTTGAACGACAATTTCCTCGAGCACCTGATTTGCTTCAAAGACGGCATATTTCAGTCCCTGGATCCTTAGGCGTTCGTATGCAGAAAGATAATCCAATTCATCAGCTAGGAGGAACAGATCTCTCAGTTTTGGGACGGTGACTAAGAGTTCACCGATCTGGGATTTGAAGCCATACTTGGATATTAACTCTTTGCTCTCAAGTGTTCTCAGCGTTTCATTCAGAGAATCAACAGCAGATACAGCTGTTCCAAATCCAATCTCCATTTTCTGGAAAGGCGAGGCAAACTATCAGGGAATACTAATCCAAACTTGGAGCACTTATACAGCTTTTTGTGTTTTCTGCTTCTCTTATCTCTCTCCTCTTTCACCTTTGTTTTAGTAAGTAGTACATTTTTTTTAAAAGTAAAAGTTATGAGTAATCAAATTGGTGTTAGAGTATAGCCAATGGTTGTCCATTTTGGGTGGGCATGAAGAGAGAGAAAAATAAAAAAAGCTTAAAAAATGAAAATTTTGTACTTTTTGTGAGAAATGGTTCATAACCAGGTCATGGCCATGACCATTTGTTGAGTGTGGGCATTTAGTGGTATTTCGCCACTTGTCCAACAAAGAGAGGAGGTTTAGTTTTTTTTTTTCAATTGATGAAGACTCACATGGGAATGGAAGGACAGGAGAATCAATGCCCACAAATTTGGAGGGCAACCAATGTGAGTGTATGGGCATGGGAGTTGGGCATAAATGAGGTGGAAGAGAGAGAAAGTAATAAAAAAATATGATGACCACCATTAGCTTGGGTATCCATTGGCTATGCTCTTAACGTCAATTAACGAGGACACTTACTCTTTCTCTTTCTCATAATATCTTACACACTCCAACGGATGGCAATGGATTTGGACCCGACCCGGATCCGTGGATCCAGATTCGTTTTTCACAGATCTGGGTCTTCAAATTTTGGACCCGACGGATCCGAGTCTTGCTGACAAAAACGGATCTGGATCTGAGTCTGGGCCCTAGACTCGCCGGATCCAGATCAGTGGACCCGTTTTTTTATTTTTCTTATTAAAAAAAACTAAAATTGTTTATTTCTTTATTAAAAATGTTGATAATGTTAGTAATGATAAAGATTGACCCTTTCAAGAGATGAATTTTGGATGCTCATATTATATACATCATCGTTGTTTTTTCACTAGCTCATATGTAACATCGTATTTTTTTTTGTTGTTTATAATTTTAATTCAAAATATGATTGTATAAGTTGGTTAATTTGGGGTTGAACTTAATAACAACCAACGTAAGTTTGAAATAAATTTTTTAACCCGAACATTACATTTATTGCAAAAAATTAGGCAAAATATATTGGACCCATTTTTGGACCCGGATCTGGACCCGGATTCGTTGGACCCGACGGTTCCGAATCCGGGTCTTCATTTTCTAGACCCAACGGATCCGGGTCGGATCTGGATCCTATATATAAAAACGGATCTGGATCCGGGTCCATCCGGACCCGGTCCAGATCCGACCCGTTGCCATCCCTCAACAACTCCATGTTACAATATTAACCCGGTGTATAACAACAAAGTATATTGCATTTTAGCCTTTTTAGGGGTATATTTTTCTTGGCCTCTTAATCCCAAAATCGGGTATTATTGAAAATCTCTATTCGCGTCAAAGCTTGAAGAAGTGGAGTATTAGGTATGCCAAATTTGCAAAATAGTTATGATTTTGATTGTAAAAGTTACATTATTTTCTCTTGATTTGTATTTTACAATTTTTTTTCACAAACAAATCTTTATTGTTATAAAGAAAATTTGTCAATTGTAGCCATTTAAAGTCTGTATATTGTAAATTGCAACCATTTTTTAACAAAATTACCAAATACATCACAAAAGTTCTTATAAATTGTAAATTGCAACCGATATTAACTTTTTCATCGGTTTGCGTGTTGAAAAATATTCGGTTAAGGTTTTAAGGGCCTTTTTATTTCTTAAGATTCTAAATTAAGCTCGAAATTAGCAAAAAATTAATGTAAGTGCCTCGTTTTGCGTAACAAAAATATATCGATTTATAGGCAACTATTTTTTGCTATATAAATGAGACACTTACAATAATTTTTTTGTCAATTTCAAGCTCAGTTTGGATCCTTAAGGGCTAAAATGGCCGCTAAAACCATAACCGAACTATTTTCAACACCAAAACCGTTGAAAAAATTAAATTAGGTTGCAATTTTCAATATATAACAGGCTAACAACTTTTGGGCTGCAATTTGTAAATTTACCTTGTTATACTAGTTACATAATTACGCCATATTCACCCCACTTTATTTTTGTTGAACTTAAATTATTACTAGCCTAAAATTTATTTTACTGAGCTGAAGTTATTTTTGTTAAAGTTATTTTTACTTTTTATTTTTTTATTAAAAGTTATTGAATAAAAATTAAGTTTACTGAACTGAAATTATATTTATTGAACTGAAATTATTTTTACTGAACATTATCCTTTTTTATTATTAGAGGATAATTTTTTTTATAAAAAATGAATGTGTTTTATACTTGTCAATCTGAATAATACAAGTCATCAGTATGTTAAAATTAAGGTCACTATGTTTAACATAGCATTAGTCGTATTTGTATTTCATCTTCATAATAAATATTAAAGGCCACACGAGTTTATGTTAAAATTAGGAGTCACTATATATGTTCAATACAATGTTATTTGCGTGCTTATACGTCTACAATAATATTGTTGTGAATAAAGTCCACACGAGTTTTTTCCCTTTTCAGGCACCACGAGGTTACTTGATTAGTATTATAAACTCATATGTGTTACTTCATTAGTAATATAGGAGTAACATGTATGAGTTATTTTAATTTGTCTGTGTGTAAGGTTTACTTTGTTATTTAAGGATTACCCTATCAATATTATAGGATTTACTCCATTTTTTTGACAGACGGTCACATATCGTTACAAGACGCACATATTATGCATTGTTCCCTTTACACTTCTTTTGTTTTTATGCATCACTTTCTAAATGTGGAAATATCAATTTAGATGCACTACTTGTAATAAATTTTCTCTATATCTCTTCTATCACAAGAGCCATTTATCTCTCTAATCTCTAAAAGTTTCCAAATATCCATGATTTTAATTAAAAACGATCATCAATTCTTTCATTTACCCATCTTGTAACGATATTAAATTTTATGTCATATTAAAAACGATCATCAATATTTCCTCACAAAAATTTTATGTTCATAAATTCTAAATTTTTAATTGAACTTATATATATACTTCAATATAATTTCATTCTTTCATTTACCCATCCACAATTCATATAGGTCATATGTATTTAAAATATATAACACAAAAATACATAGCAATTTCAAAACCATAACATATGTTTACGTTGAAGAAATTTTTAATGATAGATAAATTTCTTTTAACAAATAAAACAAACTATTTTGAAGTATAAAAGTTAGGTTAATGCATAATTCTTAATGAATTTTGATAATGTTTAATAATATTTACTAAAATTATAAAACCACCAATAAATTTCACTTTAATTTATTATAATTTTTTTGGAAAATTCTCTTTGGTGAACTCCAACTTTTTGGTTTTTTAAGTGGTAAACATTCTTAAATGTTATTATTAATGGTAAACCTCAATTTGTTATATTAAGTCAACTATAACATTGATGACAAATTTTAACTAAATATTTAACTATAGTTAGTTAGTTTTTGTTTTGGGTTTTTTTAAGTGACACATGTCACAAGTGAATTGGCTAAAATAATTTAAGAACAATTTATAAACAAAAAAAAAAGCCACCAACCACCCCTAATCCCGGCCACCAGCCGATCCCCCAAAACCACCTAATTCCGACCACCACCACCTAACCCCTTTCCCTTGCGTCGATTTCCCCCTCCGCACGCCGGTGCTGCGAACCCCCACCCTCCCTCTGTCGGTGCCGAGACAACCCAACCCGAAACTCCACCACCCAACCTAGACAACCCAACCCGAAACTCCACCACCCGAACTCCCAAACACCCAACCCGAAACCACAATAAACCCTCCCCCACCACGGTAAAACCCAAATTCGACCCTTTCTCAACCTCGAAACCCTAGGCGACGAAGTTTCGAGGGTGGGGGAGGGCCTGATTTAGAGTTCAAAGTGATTGGGGGAGGGTTTTTTTTTTACGGGTTTTAGGTAGGGGAATGCCGCCCTAATCGCACCCCAAATTAAACCACCACAAAAACCACTGCCCTTCCTCGACGAACCCCCTCCTCTGTGAGCTGACCACGGAAAGTCGGAAACCCTCACCCAAAACAACCAGAAAACCAAAACCCGTTTCCCGGGTTTGGTTTCGAAACCCTTAATTAAAGGGGTGGTGGGGTTCGTGGTTGGGAGAAAGTGAGGAGGTGGAGGTGGGGGATCGAAGGCCGGCGCACCGGCGAAGCTGGAGCTGGGCGCCGGCGTTGGTAGGGGTAGGGGAGAGGAGGCCGGTGGCCGCCGGTAGGGGAGGGGCTGTTGATGAGTGGTGGCTAGGTTGGGTGGGGAAGGTTTTTTTTTTAATTTTTTTTATAATAATTTAATTATTAAAAAAATAAAAAACTAACCATAGTTAATGATTTTTTATTAAAATAACACTTATCAATGGTAATCACAAATTGAGGTTTACCATTGATAATAAAATTTAAGAATGTTTACCACTTAGAAAACCAAAAGGTTAGAGTTCACCAAAGAGAATTTCCCTAATTTTTTTATATACAAAAAAATGACCTGGGGCATTGCTCGGGCCTAAAACTAGTTAAGGTTGAATTAAAAAGGGAAGATGAAGATGAATTGCGTAGGGAGATGAAGATGCATTTTTATTTTGTTGGCTTGGATTTTAGTGGGTTAATTAATCTATATCTATACCTATCTATCTATACTCTATACTATATCTATACTCTATACTTAGTATTTAAAAAACACAAACCATAATTTTTCATATGACACATGTCATCACAAGTCACTCACTATCACATATGACACATGTCACCCCATTTGATCTTTTTGTTTATGTCTTTATACATTCTATAACTTGCAAATTCAATTAAGAAAATGAAGTGTTTCATTTCCATCATAATAAAATAAAGTTGAACAAATTAATATACATCACATAAACATATGAATTGAACTAAAAATTGTCTTTTCAACTAATAAACTTAAAATATAACTTAAACCAATATGTCATTTCATATCCTACAATCTTCATGTATATATACGTATTTAAATTCCTTTATCTTTTTCTACAGCTCCACCCTCATTCTTTTTTTCCTTTTAAGTTTTAGCAATGAAACAATTACTTCGTATTTCATACCAAAATTTTCAACTATTGAAAAACATACCTACATATGAAATAACCTAGATAAGAACCCGTGCATCGAACGGGCAAAAAGGCAAGTTAGTATTTAAAAATACAAACCATAAATTTTTCGCATGACACATGTCATTACAAGTCACTCATTACCCCATATGCTACATGTCATCTCCCTTACTAATTTTGTTTTAATGCTTTATGCATTTTAAAAATTGCAAATTCAAGGAAGAAAATGAAGTGTTTCATTTCCACCATAATTAGTACACATTACATAAACATATGAATTATAATAAAAATTGTCTTTTTATCCCCTAGACTAAAAATATAACTTAAACTAATATATCATTTCATATCCCATAATATATATATATATGGTATACCTAACCAAATTCCTTTGTCTTCTTTCACAGTTCTACTACTTTGTCTTCTTTCACAGTTTTACTCTAAACTCTCTCTTTTTTTTTTTTTTTTTTTTTAAGTTTTAGCAATGAAACAATTACT